GGGCTCCAATCATCCTACCTGCTCTTCTAGGGCATCCATTAGTCTCCCAGAGACACCTGTAAAGGCCAGAGAACTGCAGCCAAGCAGAGTTGCTTCTAACAGTGTGGCAAGTCCATCTGCCGGTACAAGGGCCAAGGTCCAACGGAGAGAGGCAGCAAGGCTTCTCTGACATCTTGACAACAAACTCAAAATGCTAATTTCTTCCCTGTGGCATTGGGTACAGGAAGGTGAGCAGGTCGCTTAGGATCCTGACAATGTAGGCCCTGGATATACTCACACTTTAATAAAAAAAGACACAGAATAGAATGAGCCAAGAAAAGGAACCCACCTCCCCACTAGAATGGAACAGCAGAATCCTAACCAAGGCTCTGCCCTCTTTCTGGCTTATATGATCCGTTCCCAGAATATATCCATGTATCACGTGTGCACACACACAGCACAGATGGAACATCTCAGTAGAATCTCAGACAACAGAGGGACAATGTCTCCTTATTAGTGTCTGCAGTAAAATGGTGGGGATGAGGCAAAGCCACCAGCCTGAAGTCTCCCTTTCCAACCTTCCAAACTTGAACATCTCAAAGACTAACTTTAAATATACAAGCAGCTAAACAGTACTATGTAGTCAAGATGGATGCTTTAACTAACCGTTCCAGGCTCTTTCCAGTGGTAGTGTTGTCCAGTATGTACTGGGCCTGGGCTTCAAACCACAACACCAGGAAAAGAAAACAAACAAACCAAAGAGCCCACACACTATAGTCTAATGAGGCAATTTTATTACGAGGGGGGAACGCGGGTGTTCAGCTCTATTCATCTGTCTTTCTGCAAGAAGGGAAATTTATCAACGAGTAAGCACGGGATAATAAATTAGCGACTAGGAGGCCCCAGAGGGTTTATAATCCTTTAAATATGCAAAAATATTAAGTATGCACTCTATTTTCTTGAACGCTGTTTTAGGGCGGCTTTTTTTTTCAAGCCTCTTACTGACATTAGGCTCTGGGTTTTGCCTGAAACACGTTCATAAGCAGTAGCTGGAAAGACTTCACAACACGGGGAGATTCCTGATGCTCTTCGCATCTGCAAACGCGGCGAACACCAAGCCAACATCTTCAGGCCTGTGTCCCCAGAGTGGGGACAGTCAGACTGTCTTCACGCTGTCTCTACACTTGGTAGAAAACAGAAGTGTGAATCAGCCAACTACCCCGGCCCACACACAACCAACAAGCACTTCATCTTCCCTCAGTGTAGCAGGACCTCTCTGAAACGGAGTTCTCTGTTTCCCCCTTTGGAGAGGTTACTTTCCCGTGGAATCTCCAACAACACACACCTGAGTTTTTTTTTTTTTCCCCACAGAACAAGATTTTATCTCAAGCTAAGTTTTTGCCATTTCTATCCACAGCACCCTAACACAGAAATGCAGTTTTACTAAGTGGAAGTATTTCTCCCTTTTCTCCCAAGCGGACTTCCAGATGGAGTCCTGTTGTCCCTCAATGACTAGCAATCCACCCAAACAAGGCAAGCCCAAGCCGTTAGCTTGGCATCTAATGACAAGCGTCTCTTTCTTCCAGTTCCCCCAGTGGCGTTATTATTAGCAATGAAGAGGCTGCTTTGCCCATAAGCAGAGATTTTATTTTCTTGACATTTACCTCCATGATCTGCAAAATATTTCACTTTCATGATTGTAATTTCCTCCAACCGAGTAATACATTGACTTACAAGACGACCTCGAAGTGCGCTATTAACTTGTTCTTTCGTGCCACAAACAAGCAGGGCAAGAGAAATATCATTGGATGAGGTATTGAACGGATGTGCGTTTGAGGATGGCAAGGGTCTACCCACCAAAAGCAGCAGGTGTCCGTGACCTACCTATGACAAGGGCTGGGCAGCAAGGATTTCCTCACACACAGATGACAAATGCTACCATTGAAAAGTTCAGGAATCCTTGAAGACAAGGGTCAGAGAGGATTCTAGGCTCGGCATCAAACAAACAAATCTTGTCGGCTTGCGTCAAGCTCTGGCCAGGTAGATAAAAATAAAACCATGTAGCAGAATGTAAGCCATAGCGGTGCTTAGGAAAAGGCAGTGTAATGGAGTAGGGGGTTGGGAAAACTCTCCGATGAGACAGGGTTTAGAACATAGGACAGTGCAAACCCTGCAAATGCGTTCGTGTGATGACGGAAATGTTCTGCAAACACAGGTTGGAACTAGTTCAATGGGATATGTGGCCGAGCTGGCTACCAAACTGTTTCCTCCTTTGGAGGTATCCAGCGAGCCATGCCTCAGCTCCTCTGGGAGTCTGAATGGCCTTGTGACTGTCGTTGTCAACAGACTGTAACGGGACAGGGTGAGAAGACACGGATCTACTCTACCGCCTCTCCTTCCCCTTCTACAGAAAACAGAGCACAATACCGCTAACAGAAACACAAGAGAAGGGCCTGGGTCCCCAGGGCACTGCATGGAAGACAACCCTTCTACTGATGAAGTGGGCAGCAGGGCGGGAGCAGAATGGGCTCCCTTGAGACAGCAGTCGGGTCTTTTCAACAGTCACAGCTCCAGAATCTGGCTAAATGCAGTTACAATCGGCATTTACTCGGTAATGCTGCTGGAGCAGTGACAAGCAGACAGACCTGTCAATAAGAAACGGGGGAGGGGCAGGGAACGGCAAGAGCACACGAAAAGGACTCTTTTTTAAGTCAGCAGTCTTACTGAAGACAAATGGACTAGCATTTAGAACTTGAATGAACATAAGCTATGTTGACAGCCTGCTGAAGTCCACAGACAAGAGCCTGGCTGAGGTCATGGCTCAGTGGATTATAAAAACGGAGTCCAAGACGTCCCCCTGGTAAAGGTTCCTTATTAAAAGTCACATGACAGTTTTACTGTCACCCAGCGCAAATGACGCTAAATCAACATACACGGGCAAGCTGTCAGGGTGTGCCACTGCCACCCCAGTCAGGGGACACAGAAGTACGCCATCCGTCAGCACACCTAGTCCCAACTACTGACCGTCTGTTTCTATCTGCACATTTTCCTCAGGGAACCAGTGGTAAAGGCTTGTTTCCAGTAAACCAGCAATGAGAGTTCACATGACCAAATTACATTAGAACCCACCTGAACAGGGGTTTCGTTGCATTTGCCCTTTTCCTGCAAATTCCTGCCTGAGCACAATTGTCAAAGTGTATGTATGAAAAGCTTGGCTAGATGACAAGGCTCTTTTTAAGAATGGAGTAAGCCACTTAGAAGCAACAAGTACTGGGGGATCTATCCCTACAGGAGAGGAAGAAAACGAGACACCTTTGAGGAATGGTAACCCCAAGACTCTCACACTGCCTTGAAGCATTTATGCATGACCGTTTACTAAACACCCCTGGGACTACTCTGGGTACTCGGGGATTAAAAGGCAGCCCAAGGGATAGACTCACAATGAGTCAGATCTAAATGTCAAACTGCAAAGACACAAACATGGAGCATTAATTCTATAGGGTCAGGACACCATCTCCCCAGGCCTGACCTGAAATTCCAGCAGACGCTGTATGGGCAGGTCCCCAGGCAAAATAGATTAGAGCATGTGAGTTCCGGGGCCTAAAACAGTTCAGCCCCCGAAGGTGGCTCCATTAAGGACAACGACTCATTTTGTCCCCTGCCGACTCTTTCAGCCTAGACCAGGCCCTGAGCTCAGCAGACAGGGAATGAATGTTCAGAGAGTGGGGGGGAATGGATGAAATCAGACCTAGAGACACAGAGACCGCAGGGCAACAGAGGACACCACATCCTTCACCAAGGAACAATGAGGGTAGATGTGACCTTTTCTTCCTATTAAAATATTTTTGTGTTTTGTGTGCGTGCATGCATGCAAATGCCAACAAAGGCAAGGAGAGGATATCAACCCTGGGGAGACAGAGCCAGAGCAGTTATGAGTCATCTGACACAGTGCTGAGACCTGAACATGGGTCCCTTAGAAGAGCAGCAAACCACAGTCCCTGTCTCAAGCTCCTCCTTTCCTTTTCTTCTCCTCCTCCTTCCTCCTCATCCCCACCCTCCTCTTCCTTTTTGGATTTTCCAAATAGGGTTTCTCTGTGTAGCCTTGGCTGTCCTGAAATTCTCTCTGTAGACCAGGCTGGCCTCGAACTCAGAGATCTCCCCATCTCTGCTTCCCAAGTGCTGGGATTAAAGGTGTGCAACCTCCACTGGCCAGCCAGGTCTCTTCAAGAAGTGCGTTGAAGGAGCTCGGTGCCCAGAGAGGCAATGCACTTAGGGGATGATGCCTATGCACCCATAAAAAACAGAACCAAAGTGAAACAGGACAAAGGAACAGTGGATGGCCATCATAGGGTTTAAGAACCGTGTGGGGAGAACTCTGTGTGTGTGTGTGTGTGTGTGTGTGTGTGTGTCGGCCCAAGCACACATGCATGTGGGTAGGTTTCATATTTGTAAATATGTAACAGGAGCTTCTGAGATGATTCCTAATTTTAAGGAAAGTCAGGTTTAGAGTAAACAATACACTTCAATTGTGTTACTTACAGCTGAGATACTTACAAGGAAATTCTCAAGAGGTAGTTAGAGCCACGATGCCCCAGAGAAGGTCTTGGGTGTAAAGGAAACTACCCACAGACACTACTCATGGCTGTCAAAGCTGTGCACTGCACAGCTCCCAGGGCTCCAGCTGGATGGGGTCGCTGGAATTGTGTTTGCCTATAACATATTATAACATATTTCTGGCCAACAAACATACTATATCTTAAGGGGTGAATGAATGAATGAAGGTTTATGCCCTGGCAATGCTGAAGCACACATAGGCAGCCCGTATGGCAGTTCTGTTGAACTTGCCCATATGGGTTTCACAGCCTAAGTTGATGAGGGCAACCGACCAGGTCTCTTCCTCAAGAGGGCACCATATCTCATTGCACATGGTTGTGAGCCACCATGTGGATGCTGGGAATTGAACTCAGGACCTTGAGAAGAGAAGAGTAGCCAGTGCTCTTAGCTGCTGAGCCATCTCTCCAGCTCGCTTCGGCAGCACATATACTAAAATTGGAACCATACAGAGAAGATTAGCGTGGCCCCTGTGCCAGCATGACATGCAAATTTGTGAAGCCGTCCATATTTTTTGTGGTGGTGGCACATGGCTTTAGCCCAAGCTCTGAGAGGCAGAGAAAGGTGGGTCTCTGTGTTCCGGGGCCAGCCAGAGCCACATAGCAAGAGCTGTCTGAATCAGTCAGACAGTTAATTAAAAGCATTAATCTTGAGGGGTACCTCTTGCTACTTCACCATAATCATTTCCAGGTGACAGGTTTGCCAAAAGAGATGCCAGAAGAGCGGAGAGGAGATGTGGGAAGGACAAGGGGAGAAGGTGGGTGACAAAGCAGAGGGATACACAGCAAGTCTACTTTTGTGTAGGTCTCATTTAAAAAAAAGTTTAGGACCATTTAAGGTTCCCACAACTTTAATAAGCTCTTAAACGGTCTTAACAGCATCTGTGAGGTCAGCAATAGGTGGTGTTTCTGCCTCTCTAAGGAGCCTAGTGCTCCCCTGGCTGGGAGAACGCAGAGTTCCCCTTCTCATCTGTGGGTATCCAACCCCCTTTTCGCATTATGACACAACACTGTCATCTCATGGCTACTGGAGCATAGGTACCTTACCGTTGGCTAGACCACTGAAGAAAGTCTCCCTCCCTCATCAACCATGAACTACCTCTAAATCCTCAGGGACGAGTGGGGCATCATGAGAACTCCTCCACCTCACCCCCCTTCCGTGGCAGAGTGCCAGGACAGCGTCAGCTGGTAGTCAGAGCCACTCTGAGCTCAAGAGTAATGTAAGTGGTTTCCTATGAAGCACATTCTGTCATTTCTATCAAACGCTTGCCCCAAAGACAGTCTTTAGGAAGAAACCTATTATTTCCAAGATCATATAAAGAATAGCAATGTCCATCAACGACCGCAAACTGTTTATACAGAGCCGCTTTGATCATTGTTCTTCAGCATGTTAATATGTGCATATTAACATTCTGCCAGCTAAGACTAATGAAGAGCTTCAACAGAATGAAGGGAGATCAGAAGCTAACAGAGGTGAGTCGACCTCGCTGGGTCCTCATGGCTTAGACTGTATTCTCGCCTCCCATTCCTGACCCCGGCTGCCATTCATGCCCACTCTCAAAATCTTAATGAGGGCAAATGACTTTCACACGTTTATTAATGAGGCGTCTAGTTTAACTTTGTCATTTGCTCACATCCTGACATGACGTTAACGGTGTTTCAAAATCGTACGGTTCTTTAATTTATTATTATCACCCCGCTAAATACAACGACAACGTTTCTCTCAAGAGCCTCAGGCCAGCATGCTCTCGCCTTCCCTGGAAAAAGAGACGGGCTATGTCTGCCCCAGCCCATCACCCCCAATCCTGCAGCCTTTCTGTCCTCACGCTGAATGGGGAGAGACTGGGCTCTATCTGCCCTACGTGTCAGCAGCCCTGGAAGCGTGACAATGGCTGAATGAATTTTCATGGGACATAAATCACTCGTTCACGACATGCCACCTTCCAGAGCTGCTTCTCATGAACCCCGGAGCCGGCACAATATGGCTCTTCACATCCTCTGTGACAGTTGTGAGCAAGGGGACCGTTTGCGTGAGGAGATAAATGGTGTTTTCCTTTCTGAGACACGCTTTTCCTGCTCCCCGCATGACGAAATTTATTTTATTAAAAATCACAGTCACATCCAATTCCCACACGTCGGTTAAAATTTCAAATATGCTCTCATGCTTCATGGACCCGTGGAGTGTTTCAGCAAGACTCTTAAGATCATACTTAGCTGATCACTGCTTAAAGAGACTCCAAGTGTTTCAGCTCGCCTGCTGTCGGGATTTACACATAAACTTCTGAGCAACTTTTGAGCCTCTCTCGGGGAAGAATGCCTATGAAGATTTGAGGTCAGACATGGTAACAAAGGCCTATAATCCCAGTGCCCAGGGGGCTGAGGCAGGAGAATCATGAGTTCAAGGCTAGCCTGGACTATCCAGTGAGACCCTATGAACACACATTTGCTGACTGGGAAGTTCTATATAGATCTCTCACATTGATTCAATACCCTTGAAAGTAATTCACTGAGAGAATCATGATCAAGACACTTGATGCCGAGACACCATCCACTCTGATTCTGCTGCTGCCTCCATAGCCGGCTGTACTTTCAAGTAGGAATTCGCCGTGCTTCTTCCCCAAAGCTAATATATTGTATCTTCTACCACACGCAGCCGAGTTCCCTGGCGGCTATGTGAAAAATGGCGCATGCAGCGGTCCCAGCCAAGAAAGCCTGAGACGGGTTAGGCTGGGCCTCATGCTCATCTCTCAGCGGCCCAGGACAAACGCTCACCTGTGTGTCCTGTGAAGACAGGAGTAAGGCTGCCAAACAGTTACCCTTGTCCTGGGATACTCAGCTGTCTGCAAGCTCCATGCCCTGGGCTCCCTGGGAACTCCCGAAAGTTAGCGAGCCTCGGCGGCCAAAAGGAAACAGGGAACGTGGGATGGGGCGGGGGTGGGGGTGGGGGGAGCACTCTGGTCTTAGAAGAGAGTAAGCTTTGCGCTGGGGAAATGGTGAGAAAGCCTACAGGTCCAGGGGGCTGGCTCAGCGAGTAAGAGCACTCACTGCCGAGTCTGGCAAACTGAGTTCAATCCCCAGTACGCACAACACGGTAAAAGGGGAGAATCCCTTTTACCTGCACGCCCTACACGCCCGACCTCTGACCTCCACAGCCTTGCTGCCATCCTGCAGATAAACGTAGGAGAAGCATCAGCCTCACTCCGGCTCCTGAAATCCATGCTTGAAATTCTAAACTCTTTCTAGGGTCAGGAGGAACTCGAGGAACCACTGGAGCTGAGCTGGGTTGCTAACCGGGCTCCATGCAGAGCGGGTCCTGCATTTTCCCAAAGTGGCTGGCCATGGTGGTGAAGTGGGAGTGGGTATCAGCCAAAACAAGCCTCTGCGGGAGAATAGCGTGCTTCAAGAACAGACCTTACTACTCAGCAGTAAAAAACAAGGACTTCTTGAAGTTTGCAGGCAAATGGATGGAAATAGAAAACACCATCCTGAGTGAGGTAGGCCAGACCCAAAAAGAGGAACATGGGATGTACTCACTCATATTTGGTTTCTAGCCATAAATAAAGGACATTGAGCCTATAATTCGGGTTCTTAGAGAAGCTAAATAAGAAGGAGAACCCAAAGAAAATCATATAGGCATCCTCCTGAATATTAACCTTCATCAGGCGATGAAAGGAGACAGAGACAGAGACAGAGACCCACAATGGAGTACCAGACTGAAATCTCAAGGTCCAAATCAGAAGCAGAAGGAGAGAGAGCACAAGCAAGGAACTCAGGACCGCGAGGGGTGCACCCATACACTGAGACAAGGGGGATGTTCTATCGGGAACTCACCAAGGCCAGCTGGCCTGGGTCTGAAAAAGCCTGGGTTAAAACCGGTATCGCTGAACATAGTGGACAAAGAGGACTACTGAGACCTCAAGAACAATGGCAATGGGTTTTTGATCCTACTGTACCTATTGGTTTCGTGGGAGCCTAGTTTCGTGGGTGCTCACCTTACTAGACCTGGATGGAGGTGGGTGGCCCTTGGACTTCCCACAGGGCAGGGAACCCTGATTGCTCTTTGGGCTGACGAGGGAGGGGGACTTGATTGGGCGAGGGAAATCTTTAATAAATAAATAAATAAATAAATAAATAAATAAATAAATAAGAAAATCTCTAAAAAAAAAAAAAAAAAAGAACAGACCTTGGCGGAGGAAGGAGGCAGGGGTAGGGACAAGGACGCATGCCACAACCCCGAGGACAGACCACGGCAGAGGCCAGAGCACGTGGTTTCGATGTCAAGCTGGAGCCCAGCTGCGGCAGCCCTGTGAAAGAAAGATGCCATAGAGGAGGAGGTGAAGGCCAGAGCCAGTGGAGAGGGTGACAAATTGGAGCTCTGGTGCCACAAGCAGCAGCTTGTTCCCTCCTGGGAGCTGAGGATGCTAGAGGCTTTTACAGGGGGAGCCCAGCTGCTGGGAGGCAGGCGGGTGGCATGTGGGCACTGCACCTTACTCTCAAAGGCCAGAATTCTGCTGCCACCAGTCCAGCAGGGATACAGTGACTCACACCGAGACGCTGGTCTCAGGGACGGGCAGGAGGCATGGCCTTGGACAGGGGCAGAGCACACTGGATGGGAGAGTCAAGCCCAAGGAATGTATTCCCTGCAGACCAATAATGTTGGCTTGGCTTCCAGCAGAGGCAGCAAACGCTGCTGCGGAGAACTGCTGTGCAAACAGCTGCCTGCAGCCTGCACCAAGTGCAGGGGACCTGTGGGCTGGGGCAGAAGCAAAGTTGCCCCAGGGGCTCCCCAACAGACCCTTGTAAAGGAGTGACTGGCAAATGATTTGTGTTTAGGATAAATCTGTCCCCCGTGAGTCTCTCCGCTCCCAACCCAAAAATTCAACAGCAAGGATCAGATGAGCCTCTGTTCACTCATCAGGCTCATAAAGGGGCATGGGAATGAATGATAGTCCCACTGCCGGGATGTCCATCAACCAATGAATGGAAAAGAAAAATATGGTACATATAAACAATGGAATTTTACGCAGTCGCAAAGAAAAGAAAATGATAAATATGAAATAAAATGGATGGAACTGGAAATTAGAATACTAAATGCTGCAATCCAGGCTCAGAAAGACATTCTCGTGCAGATCCTAGCTTCCCGTGCATGCGTGCATGTCCGTGCGTGCGTGCGTGCGTGCGTGCGTGCGTGTGTGTGTGTGTGTGTGTGTAGATAGAAGCCAGGAAACTAGAAAGGGGCCCAGGAGGGTGGAAACGCAGCTTTAAAGGAAGGGGTGGAGGAGGGTAATAGAACACGTGCTATTTAGGGGGACAGGGAGATGGAGAAAAGGGGGCAACCAAAACTAATTATATACGGAAGTTCCATAAGTAATCCTGGTACTCTGTATGCTCCGTTTAATGGTGAAGAATATTCCTGGTCTTCAAGGGGCTTAGCACCACTCAGGCCACTGAGGGGGCCTCTGACAGTGGATAGTCAGCCACCAATTAAGCAGCAGAAACCAGCACTGTTTATAGCA